ACATTGTCACAATATAGGATCTATGCAGTATAAAGTCCATACAGTTACAGCAGAGCAAGAAGGGGCTGGCGCACAACGGCACAACTGCAATACTTGAACGTAGTGAATTCCGGAGCCCGCGCRGCTGCTCCGCGAGGCCTGGCCACAAACTGCACAAAGGGGCTTCAASCTCCCCGCAGTAACAGGGCCCTGGGATCCAGGGTTTTGATTCAGACCCGTCGCTCGCTACAATGAAATGGATTCCTGTTTCTGCTCTGGGGACATCCCTTCATTATTCTGTATGTATATATACATCAGTGTGTGCTTATGTATATACACACACATACTAAAAAAAATACAAATAGGTATTTATATACACGTGCACATGTTTATATAAATGCATATATATACACTATATATATATATATATATATCTAAAACCTATACCAGTGGATGGGCTCTTGTCTTCTATATTCTTGTCTGGGGGTAAACAAGGATAATTCAGTTATTTCCTAGGCTGCCTAGGGCTATATAGCTTATCCCCAAAAGGTAAAAAATACAGAATTTCATCATACCATTCACTGACCAACCATGTGTTAGCACCACATGTATAAACAGATGGCGAAAGGGAATAAAAGAGCACCTGAAAGTCAGTTTGTAGGCATCACATGGTGAAACTAGTAAATCAAGTGGCTACGAAAAGGCAAGCTTTAAATACCTGCAGAGCTCATTTTCCTGCTCTCTGTGCACGGATCACGTTTCCACACCCCAGTGCYGATCGCGCGCTCCAGATCCCAGAATCCACGACGGCGACACGGACAGAGGCCGTGGCCACGGACGGCTGCGAGCAGTGGGAACCAGGTCAGCTCCTCACGCAGCCCATGCCGAGCCCGTGCCGGGGGAGCAGCCAAGGGGGTTTAAAGCTTTATAGGGGCTCTCAGAGCTAAACGTTAATGCAACAGGAGGGTAGGGTACGTACAGGAACCGGGTGCTACCATGAGGCAGAGGTTTCTGATATCTGATTCTAAATATATACCTTTACACTTAGGTATTGTAAACAGACACTGTGCATATGATATACACGTGAAGAACAACTCATCTGCAGGTGCATAAAGGACAAAGGGGCACTCGCACGATACAAGGTAGCTGCCTAGAGTTTCCCAGGGCTGCTTCCAAAGAAGCAGGAGAAAACTGAGTTCGTGTGGCTATTAATGCTCTTTAGGCCTTTGCAAGGGTTGAGGTTCATGGAAAGCGTGAATGAGTTTCTGAGAGAACAGTGATCTCTCTAGCTCTCTTTCTGCTTGTTTCCACAGAGTACAATTAGCATCTTGACCCTAAAACATGAGCTTACAGTTTGGAGAGGTGGTGAGTAGCTTCAGTGTCAGCTGAATGCTGGTGGTGAGGTGATGATTTTAACTTGTGCCCTACATCAAGGTGGTGCCGCTCAGCCGTTGGGGAGGAAGCTTGAATCCCATCTGGAGAAAGGTAAACAAACCTGGGGGGCTTTCTTAATGTCAATAACCTGATTTTGTTTTGTTCTGAAAACAAAACAAAAACCCTCCAAGGTAACTCTGTGGTTTGCAATGATCTCCCACAACAGATTAGAGGGAGACCTGGTGGCAGAAGGAGAGACAGAGAGACGCCCTCTCGGTGGAGGGTGGAGGAGAAAGGAGCACCTCCTCGGAGCAGCGTCCCGAGGGTGAGGGTGCGGAGCTGGYGGCTCTGCCAGGGCCCCCCTTTGGGCGGAACAACCACCCAGGAAAAGCCTGAGGGCAGCCTGGACCAGCACCCAGACTGCAGAATGTACCTCAGGCTGCCGAGGCTTCTCAGGAGGGGCAATCGTGAGAATCGGGTCATAGGGCCTTGCTGGCGTCGCTGCTCCTAAGCAGATGCTGGAAAACCCAACTGTGTCCTTGCAGATGAGAACCTTGAGAGAAGTTTTGTTCACATTAAATTCTGAAAACTTTAGTGGTTTGGAATTTATCACTGCATCCTAAAACTAGCGCCTATTAAATGTTTACTGAAGATTCTGCAGCACTAGTTGGGACCCCAAAGCATGCTAATTTAACTGCCCACATAACCCTCCCCAGGGCATCTGTAGCTAAAATATAAAAATTTTCAAGTTGGAAAGGCAAATTTCAGAGATTTCCCGCAGTATAGACTTGGTATAGTCTCATTAGACAAGCTGGCTGAGCTGGAAACTAAGTATTTGAATCAGTATTTTTTTTATTTGTTGGAGAATTATTAAGAATCAATCTGTGCAAAATGTATAAAAATTATTTAGCTATTTGAGTTACAGATCACTTGGTTCTTGTATCATTGACAGTGGCCTGTCAGTTCTGATAGGACAAAATGGGAATACACTTTCTCCAAAACATTGYTTACAAAGTACCTCCGTTCCGTTGATTCATGCTGAATATTATGCCCTGAATAAATATTCTGGATTGGATATTTCTTTGCTAAAGAAATTAAATTTTGCTTTTGTTGGAGAAGGTGATTTTTACAACAAACTGAAATTAGAGAAAGTAAAGCGTTTCATTTTTGGTGACGTTCAGTGCTCTTTTTATTTTTTTCCCTCATATCCTTCTAACATGGTGTAATCTTAATGAGAAATATTTATTTTATAAATTGTTTGAAGGAATATGCGCAAGGGACCTGCAGAATTCCTGTAACTAGGTATCTTAACTGCCCCTTTACTCGCTACAGCACAAAAGCACTTTTATCAGTCATAGAAATGATTGGAATGTGAATTCCTGTTACCTGAATTCTAGCAAACTGTTAATGTTGTGATTCTCAGCAGATGAGGTTAAAAAAAAAAAAAAAAGAGGAAAAAAAGAAAAAAATCTATGGAGGTAAACATATCAGGCTTTCCCCTAATCCACAGTGGTTAGGCAAGTCATTACACAAATTAAACAGCTGTCTTCTTGCAAAAAAAAAGAGTTGTTTCATTTTCTTTAATGTGAGACAGTAAAATTTTACCTAGCTTGCCTTGGAATTCTGAAGGAGAAAGTCATGATTTTCTGAAGGTGGAGCTTGAAGCAAATAACACGTAAAAAATACTGACATATTTGCAGTTTGAACTGTTTTAAGGATTTATCTGTAAAAGAAACAGAATGCTTAAGAATGCTCAGTATTAGGAATAATGTAAATGTTAGGAAAGTACCTAGGGAACTACTTACAAAGCTGTTAGCCTCTCACAGTTAACGTGCATAGGAAAAGTCTGCAAAATGGGATCAACACAGAGCAGCAAGACACGGATGCACCCGGAATGTGGTGGCTTTCGCTTGGTATCAAACAGCAGGTTTGGCCAACGGAGGGTCCTTCCCTGTGCTACACTTGCCTACAGTCCAACTCTAGAGTAATGCTAAAAACAGAATAAAAACAACAGCAAGAAAATGCCTCCAGGGTCTAGAGGACCTGGATTTCTAATATGCACCATCTGAGTGAGGAAAGCATATTTGCTGCCCATGAGGTCTCTAGTACAACACACTGCTARTATTGTCTAGCATATGAAACAGAAATCTCCCTTCTAGTATTCTTTCTAGAGCCCGATGTTTGAAAATTACTGAAAAATACCCAAGATTCCCTTTTTGTTTTTAAGTAGTTGCTCAGAAAGTCGACAGCCATTCTTTATGCTGGTATGTGTGTATACGTAAGAGAAACCTGAAGTACTGCTGAGCTAAAATGCCATTTTTTAACACTTTAAAAATCCACATTTTATTTTCCAGTCAGAAGATACCTTATGATGATTTTTGTTTCCTTTCATCAGTGACGACCACAACTGTGAAGCAACAAGATACAGAAACGTTGTCTTAGGTGTTTTGTCTTCCTAAGAGAGAGCCAGACAGTAGGTAAGTACCTTGGTAGAAGTTTGGATGAGCATTGGTTCAGCTGTGCCATTTCTATAGTTCATAAAACAAAAAGAACAAATGAAGAATACAGTTGTTCAAGACAATGTGATTTGATTTGAATATATACGTTGGTCCCATACTGAACAAGCAGTGCACTGAGCTTACCAGCTTGGAGAAAGAGAAGACTGAGCGTCTTCAAAATGCCATGCGGCTTTGCAGGCGAACGGCACCCAGTGTAAATGTGTCACCTCATGTTTGTGTTACTTACTTAAGGCATCTTGCTTAGAACTTCCTTCTCAGGATTTTATCTAGCATTCAACAACCACGAAAAAGCAGAAAAAGCAGTTTGTCAACCTCACAGAGATTTTTCAATAGGAAGTTGGTGCTGGAGCATCTTCGGTGTGGAGCAAGAAGACGACTTGCCACCAAAAGCAGAGGGCTGCTTGAGGAGAGGAAAGAAGAYTCCTGTTAAGATGCTTCCCAGTGTAGGTGCGAGACCAGGGCATCAAGCAGTGGAAGAGTCTGACACTACATTCCAGTACTGGTTTGGATTTTGTTTTGTTTGCTTGCTTGTTTGTTTTTCCCCAGTGTGTGAAAGAACTTAACAAGAAGCTTTCAGAGTGCAAATACATCTACCGAGTAAGGCTGCGGTTCGGGTGTGTCTTCATTGTAATTATTGTGTAACATAAATATCCATCCCTGAGAAAGGAGAAGGGGGACATGATCCAACAGTTGATTTGCAAGTGTATGTCTGCTCGTGTTGTGCAATCTGATCTTACAAAACTACTTTGACACCTGAGGTGAATTTAAGTGTGTTTTCTCTTTCTTTCTTTTTTAGATTTTCTCATTTTCTTATAAAGAATAATCAAGAGGATCTGTTTATGGTTATAAAATGTATGAAATATTGAGACAGCAGGAGTCACAAAGTGGAACATACAAGTCTGTCCATGAGGTTAGAACAGCCACTCAGGTGGCTCTGTGGTAGAACAGGTAAAGAAAATTYGTCTGGAAATTGCAGCAGGAGGCAGCTATTTACTGAATTAAGAAAAARGTGTGTGGGGAGGGTAGGGAACAAACTGGAGGGAAGCAACAGGGTTTTAAAAATGTGTGCAACACAAACAAGACTCCACGATAGACAACGGAGGCAAAGTGCTGGCGTCCAGTGCAGGGCTACGGGGAGCTGGCGGGGCTGGTGGTGGGGCTGGAGGCGTCCGAGCGGCTGTAGTCGCTGAGGGAGCCGGTGCGGGAGCCGCTGCCTCCGCGGCGCGGCAGCATGCCGGGCTGGAAGTCGGCGTGGCGCCGCGCGTGCTTCGTCAGGTGGTCGCTGCGCATGAAGCGCTTCTCGCAGAGCGGGCAGCCGAACCTCTTCTCACCGGTGTGCGTGCGGTAGTGGCGGGCCAGCTCGTCGGAGCGCGCAAACTTCTTGTTGCAGCCCTGCCAGCTGCACTCGAAGGGCCGCTCGCCTGTGGAAAGAGAAGGCTGCACCGTTAGGAGGCTCCGTGGTGTTAAAGGGCAGAACAGAAGAGGCAGGTGGTACCTGTCACTAATGGGAAGGAGATGGTGTAATTCTCCTGGAGCAGGAGCAAAAATGGACACTGGCCACTCTCTCATCGGAGCAGCCAGGAATCTGTTTCAAATTCAGAAACTTGGCCACAGCATTTATCCTTCCTACAGCAAGATGTGCCTGTCATGCCTGTTGGGTGACCAGATTCGTGAGACTTGTCCCCGTGTTTTGGTCACGCAACAGATRCATTTCTGTGACAGCTGGGACCTTCAGGAAGAAGGGCAACAAGAAGTGGGTTGACAGCTGGATCTTGCCTGCAGGTTGGACGGTTCTCATCCCTGAGCCGTGGCATCTTTTTTGGTAAAGAACTGCCTTTGGATCATAGYTTTTGCCTAGATTAATTAGCTCTGTTTGTTTTCATAACAAATGAGATCAGCAACTCTCCCTCCCTGGAAGGAGTGCCCTGCGTGAAGGCGGGCTTTGGGAAAGGAAGGCGAGTGTTAACTTGCAATGTTCTGCTCCTGCTGCTGACAGCAGGCTGATGCACAACCCTTTTGTGCTGGTGAGCCAGGGCAGCACCAGCTGCCCTCCTCTGAACCTCACGTTTGGTAACCAGCAGTGGGCACAACTGTGTGGTCCCTAAGGAGGAAGACGTCCTGGAGGCAGATGGTGCAAGAGCAGTGTTACCTGGTGCTAGCACGAGGTGATGATGAAGGTCTTGCACCATCTGCCTCCCCCTCTCCCCACGCACATCACCACAGCTGGAAACACTCAAGTTCACACTCACCTGCCTGCCCTGATGTTAATGATGAGGGTAGTGGTAGCAGCTGGGTGAACCACAGAAAAATGTGGCAGGGCACTTTTCTGTCACGTTTTTTCTACTCTTGCTTGCTCTCCTTCATTCTAGATTTTTTTTTCTTTTCCTCAGTCCTCTCTAGTCTTGATTCATGCCTTCTTGCTAGTTGCCTTTAAGATTTTTGGCTGGGAACTGACGGCTGGCATCACTCTCGTAGCTGTATYGGGTTTTCTAGAGCACTTCCCGGCTTTGAGGGTTAGCAATCCCTCCTCAAAGAAAAGCTGCATTGTGAGGAAATGCCGGATGCCTCGTGTAAAGATACTGAAGTCATTATTGTTTATTAAAAAAAGAAAATAGCACGCAATCAGGAACACGGTTGCCTTGGGGTATTAACGAAGAAAAAAACTAGCAGCTGCTCCAAAACCACATGGGGAAATTCACAGGCTGTCGTCAGTCTCATCTGACAGAAGGGATGTGGTTTGCTGGGCAGGTAAGTTATATAAAGGTCCTTTTATTGGCATAAAGCAATCAACAGAAAGTGAGATTATATGAGTCAATTGCCTAATCTCATCAGGGAACGTGTAGCCACAGCAGAGCTCTCTTGCATAAGCCCTAACCATGGACACGGTGTTCTCGGTGCGGGGCTTTCGCCACTGTGGCGGCTGCAGCCGCACACTACAGCTGCAGCTTGGGCAATGCTGAAGGCTCAGTGGTGCCTTATAGATATATACCTGGCCGTATCTGATCCTATACGTTAGTGTGGAAATGCCATACAGGATCTTAAATAGAGCAGGAAACCTGTCAAGCATGTGAGTGTGTGCGTGTGTGTAGGCGGTGGGAGTCCTGTTGTGCTTCATGAGCCATAGTAGCAGGTCTTGGAGAGAGAAGTCTCCAGAAATAAAATGCTCTGGCTGAAATAAAGCCAACAAGGAAACCACCGAGGCTTCTCCGCTTTYCAGAGAGGCAGGTAAGTGGTGCTGTTCAAAGGCTATGAATACCACAGTTTATCACAACTCAGATTTGGATTTGGAACATGGAAATTTAGCCTAAGTGTAACCTTTCTTGCTCTTGATGTCATGTGCTCTGCCCAGACCACATGACATCACACAACTTCAATCTTACACAAGGTGATGGAAAAAATCACATTTGAGACCTAAATTCAACTGACACTAATTCAAAATTACACCAGCAGGAACATTTTGGGCTTCTTCCTGAACTCCATCCAATTGCAAGGGAAAACGGAGCACAGGGCTGCGCTCAAGAAACCCCGGGCACTGCTGGCTTGGTGTGAGACCTGCAGGTACCCCAGCTCTGTGCTGCCTTCATGGCATCGGCCTGGCTGCCCTGCCTGCCTGTGCAGTTGCCTGGGCTGTAAAAGCAGCATAGAAATGTATCTCACTCACTGGAAAGGATTTAGAAGCAAGTGGAGCCCGTCTGCTCTTTGAACTTCATACAAAGGCCTTTGCATTACTGTACATTTGTCAAGCACTATTTATATTGCTGCAACACCGTGTGGTCACGGGAAACAAGCTGCAGGGAGGGCAGAACCAGATCTGCATCTGCTTGCCAGGCTCAGTTCGACTTGCTGCGTGCTCTCACTACGTTGTCCTGTGAGCCACGTAGAGCTTCGAGTGACACTGCTATACTGTCCCTGCAGTGATCTGCTTTCTGTTGCACGAGTTCATCTGGATGGTATCTAGGATTTGAATGGCAGTTGAAAGAAACCAAGAGACTGTGTACTGACTAGGGCCCTGTGTGCTAAAAAATAACCCACCAGTGCCTGAGAGGGCAGAAAGGGCYGGGCCACGAGGCGCAATCCACTGAGGGCTGCGGGGCCGCACAGGGCACCCAYGAGCCTGCCCGTCACAGCAAGAGGCTTCAAACCAGTTGAACCACATGCACTGGTTCTGCACGTCACACTCCCATCCTCCAGCCAGTGCTGGTGCTCTGTGCATCAACCAAAGCAGAGCTCTGTGCCCTGGGCCTTCCCAGGGTGACTGCAAAGCCAAGGGCAGTTTTCTGCAGGATCCTTCCTCTGTTCTGCTGCCTCAGAGAACAGACCCGCACGTTGTCAGCACAAGAGCAGAAACCTGAGCTTGCCACTGGGTGCTATTCTTGAATTTCTGTGTTTTTTATATACATAATTAAGGGTATATTTGGAAAGAGAGATCAGCCAGCTGGGTGGGGAGGATGAGGGCCAGACAGTTAAATGGAGATGTGACTGGGCCCTTCCTCCAAGAGAGGAAATGCTATCCTGGGAAAAAACACTCGGCCAAGCAGTCTGTTTCTTGAGACTGGCTCATATTAAAAAAGAAATAAATCATTCTTCAATAGTACTGATACATATTTTGCAGTATTTTCAGTCCGGGTATTCTCTTGTTTACAAACAGACGGTTTTGAATAGCTGAGAAACAAATCCTTAACCTTTGGAGTGCCAGAGAGGGTAACACAAAGCCTTGATGTTCTGCAGTTTCAAGTATTTCCAAATCCTCAGATTTCCAGATTCCTATGAAGTGAAATGAGACAGCTCTGCATTGCTGCCTCGGGGCAGGGATGCACGTGGGCGATCCGGAAGGGCTCGCGATATTCCGCCTGGGAGCAGGCGCCGCCCCGCGCGACCCGTCCACACGAGCGCCGCTAACCAGAGCGGCCCAAGAAGCACCCGATGGGGACGCGGCGTGGGGAACAGGCGCAGAGCAACCTCCRCCCTGGCCTTAGCCCCACCGGCTCCTGCCAAGGACCAAAGTAACTGATTTGCTCTGATGTTCCCCACGTTACCTGATCCCGCTTTCAAGCTTTGCCACTCACTTTCGTCACAATGGCAACTATTGTATTCTTTTTCAGAGATTAGATTTTATCAGTTACATTCCAGACCTTTATTTCAAGCCTGTTCAATAATGTCAGTAAGATCTTAAATCCTATTTTTCAGTAACCTTAGCTATTTTCCTGCACTGTCTGTTCATTAGCCATGCTCTCATTACCCTTTCTCAATTCTCACCTTTGAGGCTTTCTTCCTTCTGGATACTCTGCCCATCTCAACATATTCTTGTTGCTGTTTGTTGTTGTAAAACGTGAGTGCCCAGTTCTGCTGAATCCCAGTGCACGCAGGGATGCCTGAGCTGTCTCTCCGTGGGCTTGAGTTGATACGCGTTAGTGCTTTGAAAATAACCAGGCTTTCTATCCTGCGTTTTTGTACAGGGAATTAAGTCTCTGAAACGTGTGCCCGTTGCCTCTACCAAGTCATAAATAGCCAAGAGGATCACTGCCACTTTCATGAGGTTTTGAACCAGTGAGGTAAAGGCCTGGGCTATGCAGGTAATTTATTTCTGGCTTCATTTTCCCAGTTGAAAAACTAAAAAAAGCCTTTGACATCTTGTTTCTCAGCAAATGCTGAATCCCATAGTCATTTTATCTTTGTTTGAGCCAAACATTTTGTTTCTTTTTGGCATTTTTTCACACCTTTCAAATTCCTTTAAGTTTTGGGGACAATTTTCAACATAATGGTAATGTTAAAGGTAACGAATGGTAATGAACTACTGAAGTAAATTATCACAGCTTTTCTGAAATAAAAAAAAAGGCCTAGACTATTTGCAAAGTTCAACTTGCATATAATTCCATTCTTCAGAAAAGAGAACAAGTTGTTTACCAAAAATATATTTTTAGTCTAGCATTATTACAAATCTCTTTTTGTTCTTGGAGCTGTCATGTTGAACAGTTAAACAGAAAGCTCCCTTTTCACAGGTACTTCTGTATGTCATCTATCAGCTTTCTAACTYAGAAAGAATTTTAAAGTTATTAATATTCTTTGTTAAATTTCTTGGCAGCTTTTCCTCTGTGAAGACTGAATGCCTTTTATTAAGGGACTATCTGGAGGTTTGGGTATCCATCTTCTACAAGAAATATCTTATTATTGATTTCAACATTTGTTTAGYTCTGATTTTTTCTCTGTTTATTCACATTTTAATTTAAGTTTTGTAACCTGGTCATCATCACCTTTTTTCCCTGGACATCCTGGGGTTTATAGCCACAAGGGATTACCAAGGACAGCCAGCAAGTGTGTAAGTCTGTCTTGCCTTTCTCCGAGAAATCTTGGAATATTGTTAGGTCTGTGTTGATCTGGGAAGGGGAGAGGCCTCCAGCACTGCAGTGTGGGGCTCAGAGGG